ACTATGTGGATGAGAGTCTTTAGTGTACTCCTCGCCGGCCAAGGGGGGAAATTTGAAAGTGAAATGATCCCAAACCTTAGTCTTTGTATACCTGAACGAGTTCTTGTTTTTAGTTCCGATCAGTACATGTCGTTGTGGTTTTTCTAACCAATCGGTTAGTGCGGAGGGGGCAGATTAAATGTATAGCCAACCCCATCAGACAAATCAAAAGGGAGAGAAACAAAATCGACTTAGCGAGATTGAACCATAAATTCGTAGGTGAGCCTAATTCAAAAATGGAGTAAAACATGAACGCGCTAAGCTCTGTTTTGTGTTCTCGAAAAACTGCATAAAAATAGCGGGGGCGTGGGACTGAATATTTTTCGTGCATCGTAACTCAGTTCTCTACCGTTTGTCACCAAACTAGGATGGGATTGTTCAAATAATGTTTGGCAGATTGAAGTTTTTATGTTGAGATTGTGAAAAGTTCCATAGCCTCGATGGGATTCGAACCCACGCATGGACACCGCCTACGCTTTTATACAGCGCACGCTCTATCAGCTGAGCTACGAGGCCACACCGATAGCACCGATCTTTTCACCTTCGAATTAACCATCCAACTTATGCATATGGTGCATGGAATAATCTCGAAATCCCTTATATTTTCTGAAGTCTGCAAGATAATTAGAGATGAAATTTGCGTCATTAAATTCAAAAGTTTCTTCTCCTTTTAGGTTCACCGTACCTCTGCATAACATTTGTTGTAATAAACAGAATCCCAAATTTGCTGGAAAACCGAGTGAACGCATCCATACTGGTGTTCGTCTGGACGAGCAATATGCAAATTCGCATATTCGAATTTCGCTTCGATTATCGGAACAACAGAATTCGACTTACGGGATCACGGCAATTGTTCGAGGCGTTTGAATCACACCCGATCCGTCTGGCAACCGGGTCGAAGAATCTAGGCTCCCAGATCGATTTAGGTGCGGAACAACAAGACGGGTGATGTCCACACATGCTACACCCACTGGTCGTCGATAGTGTGGGACCTCTGTGACGGGAATGGCAGAATTGTCCCGACCGGTTTTGCTCGGTTTGGGCCGTTTCATTTGCATAGGGCCCATTCTGGTCACCACAACCATGAGCAGTAAGCGTTCTTCCGTCGGTTGAAAAGGATCCAAATCCTGGGGAGCAAAACCGGAAAGCGAATGAATTACCTGAACCACAGCGATGACCACGCAAGTGAAACCAGTCATCAACGCATACATAATAGGGGAGTATTGGATGGAGTGATTGAGTGCTGCCACTAAAACGATCATAATCGAATCTTCCGTGGATATCAGACTCAGTTTGAAAAAAACCCTACTGTGGCACATCGGTTTAATCAATTCGATCGGAGATCTTCAGTAAACTCAATAGGTGACTGAAGCATTTAGAGGAATTTATTAAAATCGACATACACGGAAAGTGCCAAAGAGCACGACACTTCATGGCCGTGTGCTCTACTGACTCCAGTTATCAGATCAGATTTTGTGGACCCAAACCTGAACAATCAGCTTTGTCATGCACGGATAGCCTCTGACCTTCCCTCTACCACCGAACATCACATATCAAATTGTTTGAATCGGAGAGCGACGTGCTTAAGAACAAAACCCAAAGAAAGTAGTCTGAAGACAGACAATTTCATTATTAGCTTCGTCGTCATCCGGACTGAATACCGCGTCTATACTACTCGATTGGAGTCTAATATGATCGAACACCTCAGGTCCCAGGAATTCGGGTAGCGGTTTCCACAAATCAAAGCGTCCGAGAGAAAAACAAGAAACAGGAAGGAAAATCGACGAAGTTCACTTTTTATGATGACCTTTAGTTAAAATAATATATTCCGCTCCTCTCAATGATTGAGTGAGTGAGAGGCATTTATCAATAAACAGCACTAGAAATCTACGATGTGGCAGTTGCTTTCGTTAATCATTTTGTAATCCATTTTGTAAAACACCGCCGCAAATGCTCACAAAAGCGCATTGCTGTTGTTATGACAGATGCGGGATAATTTTGTTGTCTGAGTCCATACTAATATCATGTAGAAAGTTAAATTATTGGTTTTGTAAACTGTGATGGTGACATTTATATTATTCTGCTATGCAGTGAATCAGTCAGTAATTTTTCGTGGATGAATCACATAACTGTAGAAAGCGATCGGTTCAAGACCGCACCTAACCTATCCCTGCCTTATGTGGCTCGCCAAGTCCAAGTCCCGGAGCTTAGGTTGCCAGTTACGATCACTGAACAACAGGTCTTCGCGAATAAGGGTTCACCGCGTCCACTATTCACCACACAAATGTGTGAAATAAAAAAAAGATACAGTCGAAGGACTGAACGAACACCGGGAGCTGATTGAGGAATTAATGCAATCATCTATCGGAACAAGGATAGATACAACCAACTGACCAAAAGCACAAGCGATGGATTCCATTGATTACTGCTTCTCTGCTGAACGCCTGCAGAACCATTACTCTAGATGCCGAATAGGGTACCATGCTCGAATGTCATAAACACTAGCTCATAAAGAGCCTGAAAATGACTAGGAGAAGTGGTGGTGACAAACTCATAAAACAGATGGAAAAAGCTGAAGTCATTGGTTACAGTAGCAATCTAACCAAGGGATCAGACCCACGGAAGCTGAGCGTAATTGTTGTGATAACTAACTAGAGTTCAAACGTGCACTGCCGTCTGGAACGACGATGGTCAGAATATGTAAGGGCGAAATACTTACTCTGTAGTTATAGACGCCGAGAGATATGGCTTTGTTGTAGATAATGGTGCTCGTGCACCTCATCACTTTCTACGCCGATCGAAGTTACTAGCTACTTGTATCTTTATTTCGATAGCGCCCTTAGTATTCAAATCTTCCATTTGCTCCTTCCTCAATGGTCGATCAAATGGGCAGCTGAAAGATATCAACTAATACCATCGCCTGACACTACACGATTAGTGGTTGTGAAAAGTGACCCGAAAAGTTAAGCGAGTAATATTCATCAAACTCTTGCCGGGGAGACTTACGGTAAACAAAACTTCTTGTGATGAACATTCGTAACCATTTAAGATCACATTCTCCGTCAGACGATTAATCGTTGGTGCAACCTGATAAAATGAGGACGAGGTCTGGGTGGAACCCTGACCATTTGGTTCACTGATCCGTCGTTCCATCGTGAGACCATCGTGCATCGAGTTTGGGGGCGCCAAGCAAGTGTTCTCGTTCTGTCGTAGAATAGCCTGACTGGTAAGGAATACCGTCAGCTCGGCTTGAGGAAGTCGAGTAAAGGTGATATGTAAACTGAAGAGCTGTGACGTCGGCCATTGGGAGGTGGTCT